CAATATAGCATAAGTACTATTCCATCATATCTCTCTCACAAAACATAACATCAAACAATACAAATCACTTTTCTCCAAAACTCATAACATTAAGCAATTAATGAAATTTAGAAAATATTCTTTGGAAGGTTACAAATGAAGATAAAGTTATTGAAAACAAGACAAAGAACTTTGCCATTCTTCATATAGTCACTGAATGAAACCATACATCTTTTGAGAATGAAAATTATAGTAACTATACTTCTTCATATCAAGCAACAAACTCACTTAATGTTGAAAACTTAACACTTTTTTACTAAAATGCAAATACAAGAAAGAAGACTTTGATGATAATTTATTCTTTCCATATTTCAAGAAGATATTCCAACAACACGAATAACACCGCACAAAACTCTTCCAACTTAACACTTATACCAAATGCAATCAAAAGACGAAAGAAATTTTCATGCAACTTCGTTCTTTTCAAAGATCTCAAGAAGCCATCACTTTTTCATGAATACAACTCACCATCTCAGCATGTATATTTGTAGAGCCAACGGGAAAAAGACCATTTGATATAATACAAGAAGCACGATTCTCCAATAAGTTCATAGATCTTAATTAATGTATGGTTTGCCACAACTATTATTGATTCGTGAAGGGGATGAAAAGGTTCTAAATCTTTTTACCCTTTTAATTTTCAAGAATGGAGAGAACAAAGCTTGCCATTCTTACCCCAAAACCAAGCCCAAAATCCAAACCATCAACAAGAAATGGCAAGGACAAAAGATTTGAGAGCAAATATCCTTCCAACCATAAAATAATAATAATAGTAATAATAATAATAATAAATCCAAAGACTTTGGAAATGTAAAATCATAAAGCCAAGAAATGAAATAACTCACTAATCACAAGAAATATTTGTTGATGTCAAAAATTCGGAGAGCAAGAAAGTCCATATATATATATATATATCACGATAGGTTTCTATTAAATAAGACGTATCGATTTTTCATATTCATAGCACGAATCCACAAAATAAAATCTCATGGCCTAGTAAAGAATTTTGCATTTGTTGATGATTCAGAAATTCATCCTTCTCAGAGAAAGTGATGGAGCAAAAAAAATTATAAGAGACAAACCATCAACTAACAATGCATGCATTTATCAAAACAAAACTATACAGATCTCCTCATTCAAAAATAATTTAGGTCATCTTTCAAGCAAGAAATTCTTTCTATAGGAAATTTGTTCCAACTGTTAATGCAAAACTCATTTTATGCCTTCATATTATTTCAAGAATATGAATGAAAACTCTCTTTCATTCTCCAAGAAAGAGAAACGAAATTATATCTTACCAGTTTTAGTAAGATAGCAAGAAAACAATCTCCATTATTTCCTCTCTAAATACCAGCAATCTCCATTACTTCTTATACCAAACATAGAAGATGTAGAAGATATACTTACAGCAAAGGGGGCCGGTGGTTAGGGAAAGTGGGCAAGAGAGGCGGATGGACTTGACATCGGCTGGGTCCACTTGGGCAAGAGAAACAAGAGAGAATGGGGGCTCCGTTGGGCTTCCCTGGGTTTGGTCAGGCAAGAGAGGTAAGAGAGGGGGATTCATCCTTGGAGCTTCTAGTGAGTAGAGAGGAGACGACAGGGGATTTGCGAACTGCATAGAGATGGAGGGAGAAGAGAGGTTGCGAGAGAGTGGGCCAAAGGCTTGGAGAGGAAGGAATAGAGAGATCTGAATGTCGATGCCAAGAAAAGCTTCATCGAAGTCCTTCTAAATCTCCTTTCAAAGTCCCACTCTGTTCCGATTTCCCTATTCGCAAAAGGAATAAAAGTTTCCATGTACTCGAACACGCTAAAGCTACCTGTATCCGCACCCGAACGGTAAGTCACGCAACTGAATACTGTGGCAACGCCAAGTTTTGAATTTCGCTAAAATTGGAATATGCTATATTGCAATTTCTATTGTTCTTTCGAGCATTTGAGTTGTGGCCAATTTTAAAAAGAATGAGTGGGATTTGGAAGATGAATTTTTAGTATGAGTTACAAAAAGGTATTATTGGGAAAGGCGCCTTCATTTTATTTACCTTGATGTATTCATTATCATGATCTTTGACTTTTTCCTGACTTTTGGGTGATCTTTATGCACAAATGTAGCATTTTTTCTACTATATACTAACTTAAGAAAATAGCTTTCTCAAGAATTCTTACATTAATAATATAAATCAGATGGTTCCAAGTTGAGCTGAATAATGAGACAAGTTTGAACTCATTTTATCATACTTCTAAGACTCATTCTTCCTCTAGCAAATTGTCAAATAATGTGGCTTCTAACTTTAGTATATATTTGATCGCAATGTCATGCCATGCTCATTCCGTATACAGAAATATGCACGCTCGGACGTCGTGAATTTTAATAGCAGTATTTCATTCTTTTTGTATCTTTTCTTTCCATCAATTTCTTACTATCATTTTTGCATTGATTCCTTGTTTTAGTATCCTCTACTTACTGGTGACACAGGCATGGTGAAGAGCAGGCGTGTGGTGTTCGGCCGGGACTGGAGAGGAAGGAAGCAGTGCGGCCTGGTTTGGCTTGTGTGGGACTTGAATCGGAGGACTATGGTCAGGTGTGAGGAGGAATGTGTGTTGCTTGCAAGAGCAGAGGATCGAATGCAAGAGTTCGAGAACGTGGAAGTCGTGAGGAGGATGACAGAATCGGATTGGACTGGAGGAATCCGTTATGAATGGGAGGAGAGAATCAGAGCTGTGGTTTTTGACAGTGGGAGAGATTGAGCTTTCATGTGCGGGAGAGATGTTGAACCAAGCTCTCAAGCCTCGCCCTCGGTTTATTGATGTGAACAGAAGCGCGATCGAGGCAGATCTGTGCACGCGAGAGATGGGCGATTGAATTCGGCGCCGTTTGCTGAAGATGGGTACTGTAGACGGTGGGATTTCAGAAGGATCTCGGGCAGGATTTCGGCAGAGGTACTTTTTATATAAATTCTTTGATTTTCTTCTTTTCTTACTTGGAGGTCAACATGGCGAAGATGATTACAACTAAGATACCTCGCGTGAAGCTCAATCATCTCCATGATTTTCTGCAACTTTCTATAGATATTTGATAGGAGCTTGAGCTTTTAAGAGTAGAGACATTCTTTCTCTAACAACAATACCAATAACTGGTGAAGCTATGATGGTGAATCAAGACCACAATGGCCTTGAAAACTTAGTGGATATTTGGAGTTTCTTGAATTTGATGAGGATCTATACACTCATTGTTGGATTCCTTATTATGACTATCATTCAAAAGTTAAGAACATTCAACAAAGGCAGCATCACCTTTTCAAGATAGCATGTGATGATTTTATGGCAAAAATTGATATAGCCTTCTTCGAACGAAACCTATACATAGAATATTATCTTGAATTGGGAGAAACTGTGGAGGCATTCTTTGAGAATGTGAGATTTTCTAAAGAAAAGTAGGTTAAGACTGTGGCATGTGAAGAGCTAATAGTAGATTAAACAACTATTGCAAAGTTAATTCCTTCAATCAAATTATGAACAATTACCATACCTCCAATATAAATGATATTCTCAATGTTCTGGTTTGGTTAGTGTATACTGAGTAGTTCAATCGTCTCTCTTCTCGCAAAGGCCTAGAGTCTACACTTTATTTGGTTGGTACTTGGTAGATATGCTGGCGATTGATAAAACATAGGCGAAATCTCTGCTTATGAATGAAGAATATAAGGATTTGCTAGATGTTGAAGGAGAGAGCTAATCTTGCATACATGAGAAGGTATTACTAGCACCCAAAACCATTTTAAAATACTATAGTATTTAGGCAATTGCCCCCAGCATAAAAGATATCTTTAGGGATCATTTTCTTTCTAACTCTATTTTTTTTGTCGCTATTGACTCATTTTCTTGTAGTGAAGGTAGAACCAAATTCGAGGCAACACCAACAATTACTTATAAGTTTGTCCCCCCCCCTCCCCGCGCGAAAATTAAAACTGGTTCTACCCTTGTCATAACCAGTACACCCCAATGAAACACCTCCTTCAAAACAAGATGCAAAATATTCGATAGAGTTATGGCTTCTTGATGGACAATGACAGCAACGAGAATATCATCTCTAATAGTGTGATTAAAGCTATGAGACTAGTAAGTATATGCACCTTTATAAATTAGTTGGATCTGAAAGGGAATTTTAAGTCATGGTGTTTGACATGTATAAGGCCACATTTTTCACATGCAAACAATTTTTTGTGTGGCATACTTATGACGTGCTAGATATTGTTGTGTGCTATCTCACATTAGGCTAACCTTGATAGTTTGATTTGGGAGCGGATATAACTGTTGTGCTAACCCTTATGTGGTTAGTTTAAAAAGAATGAATATGAGGTTGCTACCCAACTTTTTTTAAATCAAAGAACAGTTCCACTGAGTGTGTTGTGTTCATAAGCATATTAGGACACCAATTACTCCTTACATACCGAAATAAATAAGTAAATAAAATCCAAACTCTATTTTTGTGCTGCTAACCAAACAAAATTCCATCATGATGATATCTCAATTGTTATAAAATCCAAGTTAAATATGTTTGTGATTTTGCTCCAGGAGAACTACCCAAGAAACTACCAACTATGCTCTTCCATTCAACATAATATATATCTAGCTCTAGGAGCTACTTCAACAAATATATTATTGAATTTTTGTGGTTATGTTAAATCTTAAATAACAGTTTTCTTGATGATATTTAATTCATATTTTAATGATTTTTAGATGTCAATTAAATCTGTTTACATCTAAATGTCAAGAGAATCAGACGACTAAAATAAATGGCAGTAGAAGGAAAAATCATAATAACTTTTCATCATCCTAAATAATGTTGCAGTATTCAAGACAAAAGTTAGCCAAATGAGCTGTATTTGATAGATAATACCATTTTATGAATAATAATATCTATCAATTTTTACACAGATAATAATGAACACAACAACAACAACAAAAATGAAAGAGTAAAATATTTCAATAGCCAAGAGGAATAAAGGTTTTGTTCTCAAGGCAAAACTAGGGCATCACTATCATTTTATCATTTAAACAGGTACAAGATGAAACTTATTAGAACTGACAGATTCAAATTCAAGAACCTGATCTTTGTAATTGGGCAAAAAGTAATTTGATATTTAACATATTATAAGAAAATTAGCTTAGAAACTACCATACTTTGCCGTCCAACACTTTGGCTTCCTCTTCCATTATCATTTCCTGCGAAGAAAGCCAATGAAACAAGAAATAACGCATTAATTAATATTAAGCAAGGCAATGAAGAAGGGCTATCAATCTGACTTTAAAAATTAAGAATTGCTCAAAAAATGAATTAATCTGCATGAGTTTATGTACGCACATAATTATGTACGAACAAATTTTTACATTAACGCATGAATGAATCTAAGGATCAATGCATGTGATCCTAAATATATGAGGCTTGTTTGTAAGTTGAACTAAGAATTTAACTTAAAAATGGAAAATAAATCAAAATAAATGTCTCAAGCCTAGCTCAAATTGGAATCGAATTGAGCCAATCTATCGATATCATATCAAATGGCTTTGAGTTGATCTTGAGCAATATGATTATAGAATAATCAGAGATCAGGTCTTTCACAACTCCACATGAAAGTTATAATTATGGACAAATTATGGAGTACTACTAAAACTTTAATCAAAACTTATTCTATAATCCTTAGAGAAAAAAACTAAGAGTTTGAATTTATGTAAGTTTATGCATAATATCAGACATATCCTTCAATAAGCTAGAGATATTCCTTCCATTCAACCTCATCCCACAACACATTCACTTCCTAAGAGCATGAGAAAGACCAATTGTCGCATCTCCACTAGTGCCAAGAGTAGTTTACTGTATATACCATCATTATTGAAGGGAGGATTGCCATTCGCCATGTCACTACTTTGTCGCGAGAAGTTCATCATTGCTCAAAGGAAACTCACCATTTGATGCATCATTGGAAAGAGTTTATCATCACTGCTGCCATCCTATAGAGGAAAGCCATCATCACCGCTGTGAGGAAATGGTTATTTAAAATCTGAAGATGATGATTCTCTGTATTGACCTGATTATTAAAAATAGATGAATGTGAATTTTGGTTATTCCTAAGTTAAATCTGAATACAAGCTATATTCATCCATCTAATTTAACATTACATTGTCTATGAGGATCTGATTTCGTGAACGGGTTGATTTGATTATGATAAATAGATGTATTCAAATATGAGTATTCATTATTAGAATTTGATTAATAAATGTTTCATTGCAATTATCAGAAAGCTTATAATATGTATTTTAGACTTTTTTTAATAAGTAAAATGAAAGAGAGAAAAAAAAAGAGAGTAAACAAATAAATTTGAAACCATAAACAGAATAAAAGAAAATAACAAAAATTCACAGGTAAGAGAGCTTCAACACTCACCTTGACTAGTTTCAAACAAAAAACATAATCATAGGATTAAAGATTAAGCATTGATTAGCATATGGATCTTTTATTAGTTTTCCCAATAATTAATCCGGTTTTCTTAAGATATGATAATTTGAGCTTCCTCATCTATCATTGCAAAAATAAAAAGAAATATAGGGATTGTTTAGAGATTTCCTTTTGACTTGTATGCTTTAAATAGTTTGTTTTCCTAGGGTAATGACATCTTGAATTTGGGACATCTTAGATTTAGGTTTTCCTTTGGGCTCTAACAGCGTCTAGAGATTTGGGAGAGATCGATACCCTCTCGAATTGAGGATCAACTGTATCTCAAGGTTTAAAATGGCGTAAATAAGCCTCGAGGCGGTGTGAAGCGTAAGCCTCACGGACGAAGAATTGCGTAAATGAAAATTTAAGGGTTTTATCAGATAAATAACAGTAAGAGTCTATCATACAATAAAAACATCTAAATAACAAGTGAAATTAGTGGAAAACAATAAAATAGATGCAATATATGCATCGCATAGTATAATTCAAAGTACAGAACCACAAAATATAAATCTATCAAAACTCCCAAAGTACAAATAAGAAAGAACATATAAAATCTAATTATTTCTCATCACTCAATAAGTCTTCAAGGGAATCTTCTTCTCTAATTGTATCTATGAATATCATATCTTCATCATCTTCAATGTTACTCACTTTTCTCTTCCCTGTTCAATAAGAATGATTATTGTCATGTTAATTGCCCACTTGATATATATATATATATATATATAATAGCACATAAGAAGTTGTGAAATACCTTTATTTGCTTGTTGTGCTGCAGAACTAGTGGATGTATGTGGTGTGGTACTAGTGGATGTGCCCACTTGATCTGCTTCGCCCCTCAAGACATTCACACTTAGATCCTCTAGCTGCAGGTCTGATAATGACAAATATGTCTCATCATTTATGAACCACTCATTATCAGACGCCACATCATCACACATTAATGGATCCTCATTATCCTTCAATCCCTTATTACTCAACTTCCTATCTCTCAACCTCATGTTGTGCATAATATACACAATGGAGTTCATTCTGAGTGTTGAAAGTCGGTTTCTTCTCTTTGTTTGCACTTGATTATATGTACTACAGTTTCGCTCACACCCAGAGGAAGAACAAGTGAAGCCCAAAACTCTAACAACAAAAATCTATAACTCAGAGGTGGAATCACCAAATTGAATTCATCATTCAACTATTTTCAAGAAGAAAAATGATAATAAAAACATATTAAAGTGTTATGCATGTACAAATACTTTGAAAAAATAAGTATACCTGAAGAGCGTTTGGCAATAGTAGATTTTGTTGGTCGCAGACCAAAAAATTTCTCCCTATTCCGAAATAGAACAAGTTCTAAATCTGCAAGCTCCCTGACGGTCTGGTATGGTATTAATCATTTAATGCAATGATACAAGTCAAACTTCACCTCCGGATTTGAGAATTTCTTTTCTAAATATTGAAATTGAGGATTGAGATAATACGCCGCTGCATGTTGATGACGGTGTAACTGGACCTCCCACCAAACATCAATGATATCACAAATCTCTCTATAACTTGTCTTCTCTCATCCCAAGTTATGTGCAATCTACTCATTTGCCTCATCCATTGCATTATATATAAAACCTATTGCTGGTTTCTTCTCGGCATCCACTAAATGTAGAACTTGTACCAAGGGTCTCGTGCTCAATATGGCATAGGTCACACTTGCTCAAAATTTATCATTTAGAATTAGCCTTCTTATTTCCTTCCACTCAGGTTTCTTGCCCCACGCAGAATTAAGCCATTGTGTCGATGTAAACATTGCTTCAAAATGTTGTCTTACATCCAACAGACTCTGCAGTGTCAAATAAGATGTGGCAAACCTGTAGAATAAACTTGCATCGAGAATTGAAAATGATTTGCAATGCACAAATGTAATAACGAACCAAGTGGTAGCAGAGCGAATGATTTCCTTCTTTGAAAATTTTTCATTAAGGCTAAGACCCATGAGTGGTTGTAGATGAACTTTGTGATCTTCTTCGCCCTAGAAAGGGCGCTCTTGTGTTGATGTAAATCATCAAGTTCCTTTAATATGAGATCAATACAGTGTGTTGCGCAGAGGGTCCAATAGAGGTGTTTCATCTTCTCTATCAACATCTGACCAGCTGCTTTGTATGCACTGGCATTGTCAGTCACCACCTGAACAACCAATTGCTCCCCAATCTCCTCAACAACCCCATCTAGTAAATTGAAAATGAATTCAACATTTTTAACCTCATATGAAGCTTCAACTGATCGTAAAAACACCATGCCGTAGGGATTGTTTATAAGGATATTAATCAAGCTCTTGCTCTTCATGTTAGACCATCCATCTGACATAATGGTAACACCAGTCTCACTCCATGTATGTTTATTCTCATCAATACTCTGCTCTGTGTTATGCAGCTCCTTCAAAATTCATATTGGCAACTCCTACATGAAAGGTGCCTTCAACCCTCTCTCATACAACCCTACAGATCGCAACATATTGAAGAAGGAAGCCAATGTCGCAACATTAAATGGAATGACATTCTCATAAAAAAATCGGTCAATATCCATGCAAACCGACGTCAACTCTTTCTGGTACCAGCCGCAAGCATCATCTGAGCTTGTCCTCTATCCTCTCCTGGATTAATCATATACTGGTCCATAGGACCCCGCACACCTCTATTATGTATAGTGGAGGAAGAGCTCTTTCCACTCTCGCTCCCATAGTAAGCACCTTGTTCAACCCATTCATCAAATTGCTCCTGTTATAAATATTTTGCTGTGGTACTCTTCTTCATGTAAGCAATAATTTCATCTTTCACCTTGTTCGACACATTTGCACACGGTGCTACGTTTTATGAGAGCCGAATAAGTGTTCCTTCATGCGGGTAACTCCGCGTCTCCGCCTTTCACTACTTTATCACAAAAATTGTATTTCAAATACACATAAGGCTTCTCACCGCCGCCTACGTCAACTTGTACACTGTATTTTCAAGAAGGGTCTCTCCGCTATGATGTATTAGACTTTTCTTTGCCCTTAACTATATTTCCTAAAGCACAAATACAAAATAAAAGAAAAAATCTCAAAAAAAAAAAAAAAAAAAACCGTTGCTTTCCTATAAGTTGAAAAATCAAACATTTAACTTAAAAAAACCCTAAGAACACTTGAAGAAGTGATGTGGAGGGGCGGCCGGAAACAAAAGACTTACCGATGAGAGGCGGAAGAAACGTGTGGGAGAGTTGGGATCGAGAGCGTGCGGGAGAGCTTCGTTTGGTTCGGCTTGGACCGACAGAAGGAAGAAGGAAATAGCATTTTTATTTTAAACTTAAGTGAGTAGGACCCTATAATGAGGCGTACGCCTCAACCAAAATTGTGCAATAACGCAATTGAGGCGTCACTATCCCTGAGGCGTAAGCCTCAGCAAACACTAAAATTACTTAGGCAATAAGGAGGCATGGATCCAAATTGCGCTGCCCACCTCTTATTGCGCAATTTTAAACTATGCTGTATCTTGCTATTTTCCATTTCTATTTCATCAAATAATATAAATTATATACTGCTTTCCTATTTTTGAGTGGATTTTTGTGGATAATTCTCGATGTTTTTCGAAGATTGATAGGAAATACTTGAGATCTACAAGTGTTTCCTATCAAATTGGTATCATAGCAATTTTTGGGACCTTTGGTGGACTGTTTTGGTGAATTTCAGCGGTTGTTATTGAGATTTCGAAGAAGAAAGTTGTTTTTGAAGGTCGAAGTCCATATTTTTATTTATACAAAAATCCGGGCATCAATGTCGGCCAAGAAAATGGATGCGTTAGAGGAACGCCTCAAAGCGGCGTCTAGAGATATGAGAGAGATCAATCCTCCTCTCGAATTGAGGATCAACTGTATCTTGCTATTTTTAATTTCTATTTCATCAAATAATACAAATTATCTACTGTTTTCCTATTTTTGTGTGAATTTTGTAGAGAATTTGATGGGGACATCAGATCATCATGGAAAGTTTACCAGCGACGTGGCCGCCGATCTACGGCCACGATCGATTCGTTATATTTTTGAGTCGATGTATTTTATTTTCATGCATTTTATTATTTGCTTATGTGTGTTTATTTATTTTCCCTTTGTACCCTTTTGTATGGGAGTGGTCATGTGTAAGCCTAAGAGCATTTGTGTCATGTCAGTTAGAGTCTTTTGTATGAGGCTATTTAAAGCCCCTTTATTTTATTTTCAAGGCAATGAATGAATGAATGATTGATTATGAAAATTCCCTCTTGCATGAGCATTGAGAGCTTGAGAGTTCTAATGGAGAGAGCTTCCTAGGAGAGGAAGAAGATTGGCGTAATACCCACTAACCTAGATAAGTCGGGTTCGTGGTTCCTTCTCGTATCTCCTTCCTTTGTCCTCGCTCTTTCTTTTTTTTTTCTTTCTTTCCTACCACCTAGCCGCCGATTTTCCCCTCTTCACCCCTCCACCTCTCCCCACACCCACGGCCAAATTTTCCTCAAGCCTCCATAAAGCCGCCGGCCACCATTCCAATGACCACCGGCCATCTCCACTTCATTACCTCCTAGAAGTTTCCTAATTTAGATTGATCAAAGTTGGATAATTTTTGAAATTCAAATTCAATTGATTTGAAATTCAAAACTTTCCTAATCTTCAACTTCTATTTTAGGAAAGTTCATTCATACAATCCTATTTGAATTTTGAATGAGAGAGGATTTAATTATAGCTTTCTAATTTCATAAATCCAAATTTGAAAGCTATATTAACTCCCTAAATCTCTTCCTGTTTCCCCTGGATTTTGCCGTTGGCCCCTCTTCAATATCTCAGCCATCTTTATTTAATTATTTCCTAACTCTAAGATCCTTCTTTTGGAAATAACCTCAAGTCCCGTAACTCTTGCCTGAGCCGAATTTCTCATGATAGCCTAGCTCTAAATTATTTCCTAAAACTAGAAACGGGATTTAGGAAACAAAAGGCCACACCCACTCCATCCCGTGAACTGCTCTCCCATCACCGCCCCTCCTCTTGCCTGCCTACCTGAGAAGATCTCCCAAGTCCAGAGCACGTGAAGGAAATCACACTCAGCCTCCCGTGATTCTGATACTTTCTCTAGATTTTCTCTCAGGTTTTCTATAGAAAAATCTGAGATTGTTTTCTCAGATTTTATAAGATAAAGTGCGGAGCTTGCATTCGCTCTACTATCAAGGGAAACGTCTATCACGTTGTGACTATTCAAGAGACGTACCTTAGTTGCTTGGACGAAAGCCATGGACGAAGACGTTGAAGGCATCGAGTGGAGGATCTCCACGTCTCCTTAAGCAAAGGTCCTCATTTTTACTTGCATTCAAATTCTTCTAAATCTGAGTTCTCAATTGGTTAGATTGTAATCACGAAAGTCTCCTCCAAGTGCTCTTGCTAAGCTTAGTAATTCATAGGAATTGAGTGTACTTTCTTTGCATCCTAAATCTCGTTGTTAGATTAGGGATTAAATTGAAGACTACTATTTTGCATTGTTTCAATTTTCTTATTTATCTTGAAAATTTCAAAGCTTGGAGTATGTGATTTAGCCTACGCAAAGCATCTCTTCATTTGTTTTAGTCGACTTGAGAATTGCTAATAATTTTAATAAAAAAACAATTCAAAGCTTGCCTTTAATCCCCCATTTTTGTGAAAAGCACATCTTGAAGTCAAGGCATTCCCACAATCCACCAGCCATCCAACTTCGGCACATGTTTCACCATCCTCCTTTACTTCAAGAGAACACCAGAGACCCTTTGGGAGTGCAATAAGACATTGCTGGCCTCTACTGGAGTTTTGTGAACGAACCTTCACGAGTTGATGGATTGGATCCTGCAAATTTAAGGATTTCATTCAGTTAAGATGTTCCTTCCACCAAGAAGAAAATATATCTTAAGTAGAAAGCATTAAGAAATGGGGATTATGTACAACATACCATCAAGCAGTGGTAGGAAAAGAAAGCTAAATTAGTGATAAAACATGAACTCAATTACTTTGAACCCAAATACCAACAGAATTTTCAATAAAAGCTTGACAAGTTCTAAAAGATGGTGGTTGCTTCCAATTGAAACTTAAACATAAGGCAGACAAGAAAATAAGTGAGAGAATTCACAAAGCTTATGGTTCTTGTATCAGCATGAAATGTAATAAGTTAACTGACTTCAAGCAAAGTGTAATAATATAGTAGTCATGTTGTAATTTTATATAGCAACCAATTTAAGAAACAATGCAAGCTGATTTCCAGCAAAACAGCATTAACTGAACAGATTATGTTGAAAACGCTTGATTTTCAGCAAATTCTTAATGAAGAAAGCTATCAAAGCTTACAGCAAGTCACCAGAACAGCATCGAGTCCCTGTAGCCTTGACAGTGTGTAAATACCTAAATGATTGTAATAATAAAATTGCTAATCAAGAATAAAAACTAATGTGAAAGGTATACAAGCAATAAAAAACCTGGAGGACTATATAAAATCATAAGAAGTTGTTATGCCAAAAATATCAAAGTTTTTATTGCTTAATCCAACGGAACAGATGAATTTGCAAAAAATTACCTTCTGCTCACACTCTAATTCAGTTACTGCAAATCTTTCACTTCCTTTCCATTCCCCCAAAATCTCGGAAACTTCAACTGCCTTTGCCAATGCAAACCCAGTTTCCTTAATGGCACATCCACCAAGCTGCTCTCCATTCCTGAATGGGCCATACCAATGTTCCGAAAAAACCCAAATCTTCTCCAAACTCACCAGTCCTTCCTCTAACCTAACCACTTGAATCACTCTCAGTCTTTCCTCCCGGTTCTTAGGACTCACAAAACAATGCTCCAATTCCAACGTCCTCTTCCCCTCAAATCCATTCACCAGCCCAACACAAATATATCTACCATTAGGATGATATCCGAAAGCCAAGACATTGTTCTCCGAACCTCCTGCGACCCTCTCACTGACACTGTGCCTCGTGGCAGCGTCGGCCTCGCAACCCACAGTTGGGAGAAGCTTAATTAGCTTATAGAAGAACAGCGGTTCCCTCGTCTCAGAAGCCAGGGTAGGGCATTGAGTTTGCCAATCAAATACTTGCACATCCCACTCTCGAAAAGCCCCGGGCACAACGGACTCAGGCAGTTCTACCGGCTTCCCTTCAGCGCTGAACTCGGCGCCGCAGCCATCCCACTCGCCGGAAACTCTCGCAGCGAAATCTCCCCAGTCTGCACCTACAAGATGGAAATTATTAAAAGCTCAAATCATTTCAACAAAGAATGATTTAATCCTATGGATTACGTACATATGAGAGATGCCGGGGTTGGTTCGTCGTGCTGAAGGTGGAGGCTCTGAGCTGAAGTGGCCGAGGCGGAGGGGAGAGAGGAAGCCGAAAGGGTGAGAACTTTCAGGAAATTGGGACTTCCGCAGGAGCAGAGAGGAGAGGAAGAAAAGGGGATTAAGAATCTTGGCTTCGGTTGGAGGTACGATGAGAAAGGATTGGAGGCTATTAGGGTTTTGTTTGAACAGAGGAGAACCATTTTTTCTTGTGTTGGTGCTGTTTCTTCTTATCATCCATTAAGGAAGAATATGGAGGGAAGCATGGGAAGGATCGTGGAAAGAGAATATTCTCACCAAGCTTTCGTCTTTAGCGGTTGAAAGATATTCAACTCAATAATATACTTAGGCTTTGTTTATCTTTATTTATTATTTTGCTTATATATATATATATATGTGTGTGTGTGTGTGAACCATATGATAACAATCAACCAATCACTTGGTTGCCACAAGAGCCTTCAAAAAGCAATAAAGCAAAATCTTGAATGCCTCGGACCCCTCCAAGGATACGTAGGTGAGAAAAATATATTAATCATCATCCACCAAAACTCCCAATAGCACCCACAATAATCAAAACTTACAAAAACAATGAAATAACCATTATCTTTTAGCCCAAGTCAAACGAAGTGATGCAGGCATGCCTAACAGGAAGAAGCTAGAAACATCAAAACAAGTGCCATTAAATCCAAAAAAAAAAAAACATTTAATTGATAAGATATTTCATTAAACTCAAATTCTTTCAGATGGATGTCTTATTAAAAAGAGCTTTATTAATTTTGGTACAAGTGATAGAAGCACTTTCATTAGTATTGTTGAATCTCCTTGCATTCCTCTCCCTCCAAATGTAATAGAGGAAGCAAGAAACATCCAAGAAAAAGTAAAATTTTTCCTCATTTCCAACATGATCCATATCAGAAATGTAAGAATAAAGCTACATAAGGCTCAACTTGAGAAGAAAATTTGAGGCCCCATGGGAGGAGAGTAAAAATGATGCCAACGAAATGATGGCATTCAAAAAATAAATGAGAAGCAAACTACTCAAACTCAAAACAGAAGCTACATAAAAGATTGAGCAGGAATACTGCCTTTGATCAAAGCATCAACAATTTTTAAACCACTAACCAAGGAAAGCCATGCATATAAAAATAACTTGAGGGATAATTTCCTATGCCAAATGAAAAATGCTAGGAAGTAGGCTGATGAGATTGATAGAAATCCTCAAGAAAATTTTTAAAAATGGGAATGTTATTACCCTTTCTATAGAGATAGGAACATCTAGAATAACATCAGCAATGTTATGGGGAAGAGCAGCAGGCAATTGCTAGCAGAGATCAAAAATAAAGTTAGAAACTATAGCCTTAGGGGGACAAAAATTAGACAAATAATGATTTACTAGCAACTCAAATAAATTCGTATCATCCAGTGAGGGAGAATATGGAGGGAAGCATTGGAAGGATTATGTAAAGTGATTATTCTCAACCAAGGAAAGTCATGCATAGGCAAAGAACTTGAGGGAGAATTTCTTATTCCAAATGAAAGAATGTTAGGAAGTAGGCTGATGAGATTGGTAGAAATCCTCAAGAAATTTTTTTAAAATAGGACTATTGTTACCCTTCCAAGCGATACAATTTACACTTTCTGCAGAGATAAAAACATTAATAATGTCATGAGGAAGAGCAACAAGAAATGGTTAGCATATATCAGAAATAAAGTTAGAAACCTAGCCTTAGGGGGACAAAAATTAGATAAATGATAATTTACAAGCAACTCGATATATATATATATATATATATATATATATATGTGTGTGTGTGTGTGTGTGTGTGTGAACCATATGATAACAATCAACCAATCACTTGGTTGCCACAAGAGCCTTTAAAAAGCAATAAAGCAAAATCTTGAATACCACGGACCCCTCCAAGAATACGGAGGTGAGAAAAATATATTAATCATCATCCACCAAAACTCCTAATAGCAGCCACAATAATTAAAACTTACAAAAACAATGAAATAACCATTCTCTTTCAGCCCAAGTCAAACGAAGTGATGCAGGCATGCCTAACAGGAAGAAGCTAGAAACATCAAAACAAGTGCCATTAAATCCAAAAAAAAATAAAATAATTGATAAGCTATTTCATTAAACTCAAATTCTTCCAGATGGATGTCTTATTAAAAAGAGCTTTATTAATTTTGGTACAAGCGAAGAAGCACTTTCATTAGTATTGTTGAATCTCCTTGCATTCCTCTCCCTCCAAATGTAGTAGAGGAAGCAAGAAGCATCCAAGAAAAAGTAAAATTTTTCCTCATTTCCAACATGATCCATATCAGAAATGTAAGAATAAAGCTACATAAAAGATTGAGCAGGAATATTGCCTTTTATCAAAGCATCAATGCTTTTTAAACCACCAACCAAGGAAAGCCATGGATAGATAAATAACTTGAGGTATAATTTCTTATGCCAAATGAAAAATGTTAGGAAGTAGGCTGATGAGATTGATAGAAATCCTCAAGAAATTTTTTAAAAATGAGAATGTTGTTACCCTTTCTGTAGAGATAGGAACATCAAGAATAACATCAGCAATGTTATGGGGAAGATTAGCAGGCAATTGCTAGCAGAGATCAGAAATAAAGTTAGAAAATATAGCCTTAGGGGGACAAAAATTAGACAAATGATGATTTACTAGCAACTCAAATAAATTTGTATCATCCACTGAGGGAGAATATGGAGGGAAGCATTGGACGGATCATGTAAAGAGATTATTCTCAACCAAGGAAAGTCATGCATAGATAGATAACTTGAGGGATAATTTCTTATGCCAAATGAAAGAATGTCAGGAAGTAGGTTGATGAGATTGGTGATACTCAAGAATTTTTTTTTTTTAAAATAGGACTATTGTTACCCTTCCAAGCGATGCAATTTGCACTTTCTACAGAGATAAGAATATTAATAATGTCATGAGGAAGAGCAACAAGCAATTGCTAGCAGAGATCATAAATAAAGTTAAAAACCTAGCCTTAGGGGGAAAAAAATCGATAAATAATAATTCAAAGTAACTCGAATAAATTTGTGCCCCCAAACCTCCCCCCCCCCCCCCCCCCCCAAAAAAAAAAAAAAAAAAAAAAAAAAAAAAACAAATAAAAAAAAAGTCAAGCATACCACATGAGTGAAAAAACTAGAATCAAGACTAATAAGAAAGCCAAATTTCTCCTTAATACTTCTAGCCATTAAAGTGACTTTTTTCACAAACTAGATGCATTGGTGGTAGCCTTCTTTCAAGGAGATAAATAAACACTCATACACCATCTAGCAAGAAGATAATCAGAATTAACCAGGCTTCAAATGTGTGATGAATACAAAGCATGTTAGATGGCGTGTATAGATGGAAATCCTAATCCTCCTAGCTCCTTGGGAAGGCAAGATTTTGAAGGCAAGATTTTTTCTAAGAAATAAGTTGCAAGTTCCTTTCCTTAGAACCCCTATGAAAAAGAAACCTAGCACCAACCTTGTCAATAAACTTGTAACAACTTTTAAGTATAATTGAACCCCTTATCCAAAAATAAATGGTATTCATTTAGTAAAATGAATAAAATAAAAGACAACAAATTAGCTTTCCAAATAGCTAAATGATTGATAATACAAGTGGCAATTGGGCTTGATGTGGCTTGTGGAGGGAGTTGGCTTGGGTCAAAGTGGTTTTAACCCCTTTGAGCTAGCCTAGAGGTTAACCAAGGTCAACCCAAGGGTCGGGCTGACTAGGGTAAGTGTGTTGGACATATGGCCACCTAATGGAGGTGTTGGTTTGACTTAGTGGGACCTAGGTTGAGAAATGGCCCAAACCATAGTGGTTTTGACTACTTTGGGTTAGCCATACTCCTAACCCAAGTTGACCAAAGGGTTGGGTCAACTAGGGAAGGTGTTGGGTCATGGGGGACCCAATGCCACCATTGGTTTGATCCAATTTGGTTTAGAGTCTAATTTGCCTCAAGAGAGACCTCTCTTTGGACAATTTCAACCCAAATAGCTAAACTAAGTGGGCCCAAGTCTTGGGGTCTCCTAGGAACCTAATGAGTCACCCGATTGTTTTGGGTAGGCCTGGCAAGGCCTTAGTCAAAGGGTTTGAACGGGTAGAAGTGTATGAGAGGTTTGGCTAAACTTGATTGACTTGGTCAACCAAGTTGACCAAGGGTTAAGGGTTGGGTCCATTGAGTTCAAATTGATCATATAAACTCAATGGGAGTGGTCCCAAGTTAAGGGGAGTTCAATTAGTTTGAAATGGGTCTTTAAACCCTTAAGGGGCACTTTAGTAAACCATGATTGACTTGGTCAAACAGGTCAAACCAAAGAGTGGGTTTGGATTCGATGTGCTCTTAATTATATTTAGGACCCATTGGGATAGGTTCTAAAGGTTGATAAGGTTGAACTAAGTTGAGTTCTGGGGAAAAGACCAAAAACCCCTTTAAAGGATATTTTGTTATTTTGACCCCTGAATTGGGTCTAGCAAAGTATAGATTATTGGTCAACAAGCCATGAAAAAAGTCATGGTTGTGGTTAGAAGCTTTAGAAAGAGTCCCAAGATTAAATTCCATTGAATGGCAAGTCCAATGACATAGGATATAAATATTTGAAAGTTTTACAGTCATTAGAGATGAATTTAGTTTCTAGCGTTAAGGGCCTTTGTGGGTTGACTTTGGAGACATATTAAATAATAAGTAATTGATAACCCTAAATCAGAGATTATTTGGTTGGGTTGTAGGGAGATTGAAAAATAACCCAAAAAGGATTTCAGGACCTTGATCCTTAACCTTAGGATTTGGATAAGAATATTGGATTTCGGACTTGAATGGTTGAGTTTTGATTATCCACATTAATGAAAATCAAATTCATGATTAAAATTGATTGTATATGATTTGAAGGTTGATTGAAAATTGGTGGAAGGCTAGACTGGAGCTTAGGGATATGAGAACTGGATTGAAAGTTGGATATGAGAACTAGATTAAGAGTTGGATTGAGGTTTGATTGGGACCTACATGATTAACAAGTGGGCACCTACCAATCATTATGTCACCAAAAGAAAACCCACGTAGGTCCTAGTGACCTCATAAATAAATGAGATTAACATGATACCGAGTATGTGACATAAGAAGCACATAATATATTGAATATGTGACACATTGGATATTATGTGTACAATCTTATATGATTTTTCTGCATTGATATGATTTCGATAATTTTTATTGATGTTTTAGTTTTACTATTTTATATGATTTCTCTACTGATTGAAAGTATCGATATGATAACTGCTTTAGTGATTCGACACTAGTACAAGTTACTGATCTCTCTATTATATTTTTTTTACTAGCTTTTGTACTGCACTTTTTAACTATTTATAGCATTTACCGCTACTACGTGTGAGTTTTACTATTTTTTTATAAATTCATGATTTTTAGGAAAGGAATATAGTGTATGTATTGATCTTTTGATCGATAGTTTTATTTACCTGATATTTATATTGATAATAAAAGAAATTAGGTAACTCTGATTGTGTAATTAAAAGACAAAAAAAAAAACTCTTCCAAATTAGATTATGCGACATGACATATGAAATGTAGTCTAATATATTTGTTAAGTGCTTCAAGAATAATTAAGCACAATTTCTTGGCTAAATACATTGGCATAGCTTACATGATGTGTCACTCACATTGGCAATAAAGTAATCATAATATTATCTCAAGCAGCTAAAAAAAATTGTAATAGATCTCGAGACAGATGTTTTAAGTTTATGTAAGAGCTTTAACGTTACTGAGTCAAATAGGAAATAAATTACATATTTTAACATAATACACAAGCCCATGTATGAAAACTCTAAATAAGCATCCCAACAATTGCTTTCTTTTTTATTATGTAGAAATAAGTGTATTTGAAAAAAAAAATTATAGGAACTATTTCTCTTTGGAAGACTTATGAATCATATTCTCATTTAAAATCAAATTTAAAAATAAAAATTTCCAATATTAAATTTGTGCAATTATTTTATATGAGTCCTAACAATGTTATTTAGTAAAACATTCTTAAACTTTTGTCCTTATCTCTACATATGGAATCTCCCGTGAAAAAAAGTTCCTCTTTCATATTATAAACTTTTTTTAAATAAAAAATACAACTTCTCATCCTATTTTTTATATCAAAGTTCTTAATTTTGAATGAATATATGACTTTTTGATTAATTGAGATTTGTATAGTCCTTTATTTCCTAATTTATTTCATATAATGTAACCAATAATCAAAGTACCAAATAATTGGATATGTAAGAACATAAATGAATTGATTATAAAAAATAAGTGAGATTATACAACTAATGAATAACATGAAATTATTTGAGCCTTTTATCTTTATTTTTATATTCTTGTTCATGTGCCATGAGAGCAAAAAAAAAAAAACTTTGATGATATTATAAATATAAATTAGAAAAGAAGTCAAAAAGTTCGAATATATAGCATAATTTCTTGATTAGTGGGAGTTTTATTTAAGGCTATTATGGACCAAATCACCACACTGTGAAAAAACTTTTTCATAAGAAGGAAACTTTATGCCAAAGTGATAAGTAGATTTTGCAACATAGAAAGAGTTTAGTAAGGGTCCCCCAAAACTACAATCATAGGCCAACAGGGTTCAAACAATAATAAAATCAAATTATTAGATCTTATAGGCATTATTTCTTACCCTGGTGACTTCCAATATTATCAAGACTTCAAAGAGGCAACTCTCTCCAAAAATAAACAATGACCCTTTTAAAAACCTAAGATTTTTAGAGATAAGCCCATCTTCTCGGTCAACTATAGAAAGTGGACATTGATAAAGCTTCTCTAATATTGATAAAACATATTAAAATTATGTAGTGATTCAATACAATGGTCATGACAATCTCATCATTATATATGTTATGATGTGATGGAAAGTCGCAACTAGAAAAAGAATTTAGAGGGATTTGGGAGGAAATTTATGTGTGTGCCTCATATTTACTTAGTCTCTTATGTTTCTCCATTGAGTGGCCTCAAGATACATTTCAGGAATTAGTCCTTACATGGTTTCATAAAACTTCATAGCCCTAATTGTTTTATGTGTCCATTGGTTCCTTGTTTGACCTTTTTTTTCTTTTAGGTGTTAATCAAAGTTCAATTGATCCTTCTTAATATTATTCACCAATAAGGCCTATAACACCCATTAATTGGTATCATGAAAATGTCCATAGTGGTAATTATCGAAATTTAATATATCTCTAGCCCAAACAAGCCTTTTCAAGGGCATTTGTGACATGAAGTGTCCTTTTTATATAATTGATATGTTGCCATCAAGTGATTGTTTTTTAGAATAAAATATGCATCATTGTATTTTTAATGCATAACGGTATTATGTCTCCTTAGATTTGTTTATTGATGATCATGATAATGTCTTCCTAAAAGAGCCAAGTTATTTTTCAATACTTCCTCTCAAGATAACAAGTAACATGAAGGAGTTATCTCTATCATATTCTCTCTTCTTCTTGAATGAAACTTGGAGATTTTGGAATGGTAGCTTTATTTCTTAAACAAATTCCTCAATAATGTTGTAAGTGGGACCTAGCTCACATCTAAGTCTTTGTTTGATACTGTTTTTTTATTATTTTATAAAGTTGCTTTTTAGCACAAAAATCTATTAAAAGTAGAAAAAAGATAGTGATCTAAAGCTATCCCAAATGAAACATTAGATATAAAGTAGGATAAATTACACATGATTTTAGTCAAATAAATAAATGAGTTGGTTGTTTTGTTTATCTCATTCATGCCATAGGAATCCCTATGCTTCTTATTAATGCCATCATCTTACACTGCTGAAAGTGAAATCAAACTTTAATCATTAGAATTTATCTCTTAAATATATGTGATTTTGAACTTAGAATCTTTTGTAATTTGATCTCCTAACAACATAACATCTCTGCTCCTAATTTTAATTAATTGAATACTAATAGTTGTATTCAAATTCTTCATGACTTTAAACTAAGAAAAAAATATTGCTTTATTTCCATCCTATTTAGATTCATATAACTTGTATTTCCATCCTATTTAGATTCATATAACTTGTAGATTGATAGAAGCTCATGTTCTGTTTCAATCATCACTAACATATTATAGAAAAAATACCCCTTTTTCTTCTCCTCCTCCTCATCATCTTTGTCTTCATTTCAGCTTAACTCATTTATTTATTTGACTAAAATCATGTGTAATTTATCCTACTTTATATCTAAGGCTTCGTTTGAGATAGCTTTAGATCACTATCTTTTTTCTACTTTTAAGAGATTTTTGTGCTAAAAAACAACTTTATAAAACAATAAAAAAACAGTACCAAACAAAGACTTAGATGTGAGCTAGGTCCCACTTACAATCTATGCACCCACTTCTTCTTCAACAAAGTTTTCTTTCCTTGAGAAAACTTTATCAACTAAAACCTATAATTATCATCAAATAATTATGTCAATATTGAAGATAATTTAGTTTTATTAAAAAAAAAATCAGAATTTCACATTGTTTTGAAAAATTAAATAGGATTGTATGAATTAGGAGCTACAGTCCATTGGGAAACAGAAAAAGGGGCAAAAATTGGAAAGAGGAAATCAGAGAAGCCATCTTAGATGTAGATATGATAATTTTATTATTGTTTTTTTCTTGAAATCCTAATATTACATAGGAATCGGATTCTACTACGAAACCTTAAATAAAATCTATATCTAATTACATTTCTTTTGATAGAAACGGAGAGGAAGATTGATGCGACTTAGGGCAGGAACCTGTTGGCGTCACCATCCTCCCTTGCTTTGGATCCGGTTTCCGATAAGGGAGCTGCACTGGAGGCTGAATTGGCGCCGCAGAGCTGACACCTGGACGGCGGAGCGACGATCAGGATCCGGCGACAGGAGGGGCAGGAAGAGTGAGATCCGAGCCACTTGTCCACGCAACTGACATGGAAGCCATGTCCACACTCCGGCAGAATTCGTATTTCATCCCCCTGTGCAAAATCCACCAAGCAGATCGGGCAGTCGGCCAGCCGTCCACCGGCGGCAGCCTCGATGTCAAATGATGTCTTGGGAAGCGACCGCAACACCTTCTTCTTGAGTCCTTTGCTTGGTGGCGGAGGAGGCTGCGGAGCTCTTCCAGAAACCGAAAAGGAGCGACGGAGCCAGGCGCAGCGGGCCACCAGAGCAAGGCCGACCACGCAGATCAGAGCACAAAGCAGCGCCGCGAGGATGACAACCACGTCAGAATCCATTGTTGCTGTGTCAGTAGTCTTGTCCGCCGGTGATGTGCCAGAACTCGACTGGAGAAATCTTACCGACGGCGGCATGTTTTTCTAAACGGAGAACTAAGACCACGGGGAGGAAAAAGCAGTAAAGATGGATAAGGATTTGAGATATTTCTTTCAGGATTCGTTTCATTCTATTTATATCCTCGAAGATCGGTTGAAATGACCGATAGCCCGCACTTTCTCCCGTCAATTACGATGACTACCCTCCCGCCAAACGTTTTCTCGTTATGTTTTTTTTTTTTTTTTTTTTTTTTTTTAATATATTTTGAGATTTTGATATTGAAGCACACAAACAAAAATAAATTTAATTTTTAATGGGGGTGTTAAAAAAAAAATCCGATTCATTTATCTGATCTAAAAATTTAGCTTTGGATTGATCCCTATAATAAAAAGGTCGAATTTATATGAATCCGTAATCTTGATTTTGATATGAAATGATTTGTTTAAAATATTTTTTTATTAAAATTTTTAATTTGTTCGTATGTATATCTTATTTTTTACTAATTAATCTAAAACTTATTATTAAAAGTTATAATTGTTTTCTATCAAAACGGGTTATCTGTTGGGTTCGGGTCATTCGGATTGGTAGCGAGTCAGGTTTGCGTCCGCATTTTGAACTATTTATTAAACATTTTAGAATCGAGTTGATCTGATTTGGATCCGAATATGATGCGTTAATCTATTTTGACACCCATATTTTTCATTTTGATTTGAAATTAATGAGTTTAATAAGATATTAATTTATTTTAATCTATAGTTTTCATATGATAATCTTGCACTCTAAACTTGCACTATAGGAGAAAATCACGAAACTCTAAAATGAAGAGGTGAATTGGATGATTTAGTATTAGCGAGCAGTGTGCATTTGAAAATCGCACCCTTTTAGTTAATCTTAGTCATATATTTGGTGAGCACACAACTTAAAATCTAAGATATTTTCAATATGATATGATATAAATAAATCAAGTAGAAATAATTATAAATTATATACATTAAAATATTTTTATAGTCCTTCACCAAAATTCAATTTACAATAACCGAGAGATTATCATTATATTCATCAATCTACCTCTCAATACTCCTAATATATCAACAAAAAATTATTTTGATCGGAAGTGAATCTCGATGAAAATATAAATTGGAAACTTCTAAAATTAAATTCGGGATTGATACATCACACAAAAATTATCTTGATCGGGCACG